AATATGACCAAGAGAGGGAGAAAAATTGAATCTCTAAAAGCCTGCAAGTCTTTCCTGCATTTTATGTTTTGCTCACCTTGAGACTCAAAGTAAGTCATAATAATGTTCATTTACAGCCTGTAGAAAGTTCAGCTGCAACCATACATGGAGTTCACTGTCAAAGAACATGCCCATATGCACCTGGCCACACTATATTCCTGAAAAGCAAGTGATCTGTGTGGATTTGTTAAGGAAAATACACATGCAGGGATGATGGTGGAAGGGGGAGGAACAGGACAAATAAGTAAGAGAAGCTCAGGAGAGTTCAAAAAAACCCTAAACCTATAAAAACACACTATTCTGTGTTGCCAAATTGACCACATCCTAATACAGCTTGGAATTTACAGCAATCAGGTACATGGCTATCACAGAATTACTGCTCTTGTTGATGGGAAAAATCTTACTCAAATGCTGTTCCTCAATCAGGGACTTTCAGTCAATGCAGAATAACTCAAATTCGGTGTAAGCTAATGCTTTCTACTTCATCTGTTCCACCTTAACACCTGGGGTCAAGCCAACTGTACCAACCAGAGTCGTGAGACCACTTCTGCTCCTCAGCGTCCATGAACCACATGTGAGGACTGAAACTGTGCAGGTCACAGAGCATGTTCCTCCTTTCGTCTATCCTGATGGTTATTTGCCTCACCATCCCTCAGCAAATTACTATAAGGGTCTGTTGGTCAGAAATGAAAAGAGTATGAAAGACATCAGCATGTTCATCTAAACTCCATACAACAGTCAGGAGTCCACAGCCTGCTTACTGAAGTCAACAAAATGACGTACCCCTTAAGCAAACCCTTCTCACTTTAAAGGGTAAAGGTATCAGTGCTGTATCAGAGTAGGAGCAGAATCACTCCACTGCTTCAGAGTAGGAGCAGAATCACTCCACTGCTGAGCAAAAAACAAGCACACTGTCTAAACTGCTTTTTAAAGAAGAGTTTTCCAAACTAGTGACAGAACTCACACACCTTCCCTTCCACCACAATACAATGCACAAAAGCACTGCTAAATATCATGCCTTTGTGGTTGCACTTGAAATTCCCAGGCACTGCTGCCCAGATGCTCAGTTAACTACTTTTTCCTATAGAATTTCACTCCATTTGGCTTCTAAACACTTGTTTATGGCCACAAGGTGTAAGACAGCTTCTCCTTAACCATTATATTAGCATTTCTCCCTAGTCAGCCACTCCCCTGTCCTGCAATCTTCCTGACTATTAAGACTTGTTTTACCAGAAGAATTAATCTGGATCATTAAAAAAGAAAAAAAAAAACCAAAAAAACCCAATATAGTATATAAGAAATTTTCATTTGTTTCAGAGGAACTTGAGAATCAAAGAGTTAATGAAAAATACTAATTTCCCTCTACCCTCCAAAATAAATACATGACAAGGATTAGTGTCAGGTGTGGGTCACAGATTTCCAATGACAGTGGTATTATACCATGCTTTGAACTGCTTCAAGTTAATACCATATTACTGGACGGCAGCATGACTTACATGCCAATCCTTTCTGAAACCTCTAAAAACCTAAACTAGGAAGAAGTACTAAGAAATCTGTTCAGAGTAGGAGAGAGTGTCACATGTGTCCCCATTCTCTTTTTGCTGTTGGTTGGTTTGGTTTTTTTTGGGGGAAGGGGGTTTTGTTTGTTTTGGTTTTTGTTTTTAAGGCTCAAATTGCAGACATAAGCACAACCAAAGGACTTCATGCGATTTCAGTGTGTTGCTGATCTCAGAGCAACAATTACTTTGGTTTTCTCATAACAGAAACTACTGGTAAGGCTAACACTGGCATCTTTGGATTTTAGGCAATGACTACAGAACAGTAATTGTGGGTCAAGTCACTGAAAGAACAGTACATGTAAGAGTTGGTCTTGGTAATTATTACTCAGGGCTAGTGTTTGCCACTGCTTCTGCAGACAACCAGGGGACCACTCAAAACTTTCCTGCAGCTCCAGCTCCTGTGTTTTCCAGGCAGCCTGTCAAGCTGGTCTGCCATGTGAGCCTGCCTTTGCTACTCTTTACAATTCTTATTGTAAAGTGCCTTATTGGTGCCTAAGAAGTAGCCTAAACTACACAAAATTATTTTGTGGCATACATAATCACAGGTTTTGTCGCTAGGACATTTTCAGAAGGCTTACAAAGAGATAAGGCAGTCTTTGAAGGAAGCATTGGTGACCTTCAAGGTAAAGTCTCAGAAAGTGTGCTTGCTCCAGAGAGTTTTTCAGATCCCTTGAGCTAGAAGAAATCAATTTCAGAAGAAACAGCAACCTTGGCAAGCCGGCAAATTCAACTATCTTTTCAGCTGTACTCAACATGGAAAACAGTGGACGGGCACTAGGCTTCTTGCTGATACTTTAACAGAAAAGGCAGACCACTGGCACTGAAACTGAGAAGGGAAAGAAGCAAGCAATATCCAGGCTAAACCACTTGCTGGATTGCGCTGTGTACTTTGCAAGCGCCAGTTCCGTTTAGTTGCAGAAGTGATGAGTGGGGATGTGCACACTGTGCACTTGTAAACCATACACAGATCTGACGAGGTACACCAACATAGACAAATAAACCACCACTGGGCATTTTTTACATGATGCAAGTTACAAACAACACATCAGAAAGCTGTTACTTTTAGAAATCAACAAGGTAGGGGTTGTAAAGAGAGATTAATGTCTCAGCATTTCAGAGCACAGATTAAATTCCTAATAAAAATATTAAATGCTGCTTCTAAAGTAAAGTTCAGAGAATGTATACGGCTTTCTTTCCAAAATTCATGTTTTTGTCAGGAATTAAATATTTCATTGCATTAAATCAAATTAAGTTGCCTTAAAAGTAGTATCTTTCTCAAGACATGTCTGTAATAACTATTTTTCACCTAACACAGGACAAGAAGGGTTGATGGAAGCTGTATCTTTGCTGCTGAGTAAGCAGAGCAAAAGTCAGTAAATACTATGCAGTCTTATCCCTACACTTCCTTCTCTCTCTCTCAGATGCAGAGGCTGCCATCACCTGACCCTTCCCTTCCTCACTCATACACTGGAACACTTTGAATCTCATGTGCCAGAAATTTCTCATTTTTTTGCTTATTTCGAAGTCTTTTAATTTATGATACAATTTTTGTCTGCTGCTTGAATTGCTGACACTTAGCACTACATGTTTTAGCTCGGTATTTTTTCCTGCTGCAGATTTCCTTATGCTATCAAAACATCTATTTTTTTGATGTGCTACCTGCTCCAGTCCAGGATGTGTTAGTGTTTGGTCTTGTGCTCAGAGAGGAAAGCAAAGGAAAAGTTACAGTTTTGGTCGCAGCCACAGATTTAGAAGTCCCAGTTTCATGACATGTGTCTGGGGAGATGGCTGGGAAAGACCCAGCACAGATATAGTAAAAATTAAAATGAACAGCTAAGCAGTAACATCCTGAGACAGACTGATCCTAAGTAGTCTGTGTAATTGCAGCT